GTATGGGTGGAGTGCTAATGAAAAAGAGCTCACTCTCAAACGTTATTAAATACAGTTGGTATTGTTTTACCCAAAACGTTTGAACTATGAGGATATTTCCATCATTTCAGTGCAGCTCTGCTTCTAACTAAATGCTTTATTTTCCTAAATTATTTCCTATTCAATAAAATAAACCATGATAAACCTTTGTAAAAGAAATACTCATGCTGGACGCCTACCGAAGCAGAAACGTGAAAAGATCCTAACTGAGTCTGGTGATCAAGTTATGCCAATTTAACAGCAACAAGGATGCATATTGTAGCTTATGTGGATGACTAACCTGGATGATGGAGCATTTACACAGGCACCTCATGTGGTTCTGCTTGTAAATATAAACATTAGGTATGCTCCTTAGGCAGTCAACATCTCAACCAAAAATGACCCATTTGCTCAAAGGATGGCGATGTGACAGAAAAATGGAGGCCCAGTTTTCAACGTTCCTCTGGCAGCAGCCATGACCACTTGTTTAGAAGCACAACTAAGAGCACAAAGTGTCGCTTCCAGCACTGGTTGTTGTTCAGCCTGTAAACGGAGAGCTTTATTAACATCACCGTCCACCTCACTGACACCAAGCAGCAAGAGAGGATTTACATGTTTCACATATTTTATATTTGCTTAAACATAGTTTTTTATTCAGTCATCTAATGTGGCCTTGTTTTGTTATCATTTATAGATATATCTATATTTAATAATCCATCCATCCCCTATCAATTGTCCATCAGGCTTCTGGGACGCTGCTCTCCTGCAGCCTATGGGTGAAAGTCAGGTCATATGACCCTGCACAGGTGTGACTGTGGCCGATGGGAAAAATGTGTGTGAAAACCAACTTCTTTGTTTGGTTTTTGAGTCTATGTTCAGTTCAGCTTGCACAATAAATTCCTTTTTTCTAATTATTTGAGCATGTTGTAAAAACTTTAGCCCTTCGTGTTAAGAGCCGCTAATCTCTCTATTTTGATCGTCACGTTTAGGCTGTGGCACGTTTGTCTGATTATCCAGGCATTTGCCTGGAATCACTTACAGTAAACAGTGAGTTATTTAAAAAAAACTATTGGATCTTCCCTTTGACCGAATGTCTGATTGATGTTGTCCAACATGGAGTAGATTAAAGATGTAGAAGATAAATGTGACGGGGGACGCTAATGTAGGATTTTGAGTGTTTTCTAAATGATATGGCACAGGGGTGTGTATGCATGGAGGGCAAGTATGGTGGGCAGCTAAACACAGGCGCTCAAAGAATCCCTTTCTTCTCTTTTGAAGTGAGTTCAAATGCTCTTCAAAGACCGTCTGCCCGTATGACGGCGCAGGAATGGGGGGCGGGGGTCACCTTGTGCTCCAGAACCAGCATCAGTTGTCAAATTCCAACTTTGTGATCTCAGTACTTTTCTCTCATTTTCTTTATCTATTAAACTCTGAGTTTCAAAATCCCAGGTTTGACTTTTTGTTTTCTGGAACCTTGAGTATAAGAAACGGGGACCCTATTGCCCTACAGATGGGAAAGTCAGGAACAAGAGACCAAAAATAACATTTTACTAACTCATAGTGTTGGAGAGATTTTCTATGCCCTGCTTCTACTTTGCTGCTGATAAAAATGAGTAATATTGTCGGACAATACAAACCTTCGGTCAACCTGACTCTCCAAATGACTTTGGTTTGAGCAGGGATCCTATATTTTATTTACATCTTGAGTTTGGTCCATACCAAGATCAGAACCTAAATCATTAGAAACCCGGTTTAATGTAAAATCAAATAATCTTTGCATTTGTATACCTACTAATCCCCATAATTCATTGAAATACTAAAGTACCAAGATAGATGAGCTCATACACAGTAGCTATATACACTGATAAGACAGGAACTGTTTACTGTTAAAAATGGGAGTAAGCTAAGTAAAATCAAAGCTATGAGTAGGAGAAATGGGTCTGACCATATGGTACTCGTTTCTCCAACTCTGGATCATGTTGACTGTAGCACAGCTTGTTGACTCTTCAATAATCATCTAATTTGATCACACTCTTGTTTTGATTTGCCCCTCCGTCCTCTTTCCCTCCCTTTGTCCCAAACACCTCGCCCTCCCTCCCCTCCCAAACTCTTCTGAGTGTCTCCCCTCGAGCAGAAATTACATGCGGCTTTGTGCCTGGCATAAACAATGTTTTCAACAGTGCAGGCCTGTCCTGTCTCTCGCCGTCTCTCCCTCCCTCACCCACCGCCTCGGGGGGATCAGTGGAAAAGAGTTGGGATGAAGACGTGGGGGAAGGCGGGTTGATGAGAGAAAGTGGAGGACAGGGGGTATCAGTGTGGGAGAAATGAAGTAGGGAGGGGAGGGAGGAGAAGACAAGTGAAAAAGAGCAACAGTCTGTTCCCAGAGTGGGAAACGGTGTCAAAAGTCTGGTAATGAGCATAATAAGAGGGACAGAAAAGACACCTCCACGGCAACAAAAAAACGGACGCTTGCACGCACACGCCGCCGTCTAGATAACTACCGCTGAGTGTAAATGATAGTCAGCGGGCTTTAATTAGCTTAACAATAACTACATACCTTCAAGAAGCCCTTATCTTTGCCAGCCCTCATTACCTAACTCATTGCAGGAAACACATGCTGGAGGAAGGAAAATCAAAGTGTGTTTCTGTAACAAGCAGGAGGCATGCATCGTCCTGCTACATGGGTTTGCAAGGAAGTCACCCTGAGACGGTTTGTTCTTTACCTGTCTCTGTGTTTCTCCTCCTGCCCTCAGTCCGTCTCTCTCTGTGTGTGTGGCGGTTGGCTGCCAGGGATCTGGTGGTTACATAAAAGTGGATAAGAAAGAAGAGATGTTACATAAAAAGCTGCAGCTGGACAAAGGTTAATAAAAATGGAGCCTTGTAGTGTAGGGAGAAACCATGGGGGAGAGAAAGCTTAGGGGGAGAGAAAAGAGAGAATGACCGTTACATAAACAGATAAAGATGGGCTGATTTATTAGTGGATTTGCTTTGCTGTTATATAAAATGAAAGTCAAGTAAAATGATGACAGAATGCCCCGGCGGGTCTTTAGCTCCACACTGACACCATTTCAACCCTGTTTTTACAAAAATCAATAGGTATGAGATTCTGATTGTATGTGGATTCAAGATAAAGGTGCCTGGGTTTTATGGCATTAATACATTTGTTTGCTCTGAGATTATACTGGATACAAGCTGTGATCAGAAATGCTCCAATCAGACACTTATGACGAAGCTCCAGTCTCTGGTTTTATATAATTGTTGCTGCTTTAACAGCTCTTTAAGAACCAGAATATAACAGAGCATTAAAGAAGTGATTGCAAATGTTTTTTTCAGCCTTCCTTCCTAAAACGGGTCATTTATAGTTAATGAAAGATTCCACTGTGTCGGGGACGGTAGATTCTTTAACACAGAGTTTCACTCCTTAGAGAGAGACAAAATCCTTTGGCTGTTGATGATCAAACCATCTTTAGACCCAGTGCATCAACAATCAACGTTGCTGGCATTAATAACAGCCATGTTTGTTGAGGTTTCCATTATTTATGCACCCAAGGTCCTTGATGGTCATAGACTCCAAAGGGTAAAACTGATCAACTTTTCTGTCCTTCAATGAAACCTTCCTGTTATCCGTTTTAAGTCTTGCTCTCTTAGGGGTTGAATGAAATACTCAAAGGTCATAGAAAGTACAGCTTCCTTTTTATTATTTTCTAAACTATCTGTTCTTTTGCCTCACAAACGCTATCAATGCCCAACTTTGAGTCTTCTTCACTTAGCAAAATCATAAAGGTGTTGAAGGATGCCGATATTGTCTCCTTGAACCCCAGTCGGCCTCAGCAGATGGCCGCTCGCACTGAGCCTGGTTCTGTTGGAGGTTTCTTCCTGTTAAAAGGGAGTTTTTCTTCTCCACTGTCGCTACAAGCATGCTTAGTGAGAAAACTTTTAATTAATTTGACTGTATGATCTGGTTGAACTTTAAAGTGCCTTGAGATGACGTGTTGTGAATTGGCGCTATATAAATAAACTGAATTGAAATTGATATCAGCATAACCTGTTATTGCTTATATAAGGTGGACCGATCCTTTAGAAATCGATGGGGCAGTTGAATTAGCTGAAATTTTCTCTAAGTGAGAAAATAATTTCATATCCTGGACCCTAAGCAAAGGTTGTAGGTTGTACAACCTATATCAGTGTAAAATATTCAGGTTCAATTTTCAATAGTTAAGGTTACATTTTGAGTTCTTGCTTTTTTTTTCCTCCTGATCCTTGTTTCAGACGTTCACATCAACAAATATGTGTCACAATATTCATTTAAATGTTTTGCTATATTGCACAGCCGTATTTCCACACCATGACAGCTGAATTGTCTTTCAGCAGCAACAGATGGGGGTGGGGTGGTTCCTCTGAGCTAGAGAAACTAGCGGTCACTTCTTTGAGGTCTCTTAACGTCTCTAAAGTAAAGCACTGAAACTTTAAAAAGTGGGTAAAAACAAAGCAGTTCTAAACAAACTTTTTTTTTTTTTTTTACTTCTTTAAAGCTTGATAAATTTAACCAAAACCTGCTTTTAGTTGAACACCCCAGGCACCAATAAAATCCTCTTTCAAATCTGACATGGCCTAATAACCATTGGCCTCCATGTTGGTGCTGCTCACACCAGCCTCTGATCTCTTTAATTATTTTCTTTTTCTGACTCGTTTTGCAGCTCCAGAGCTCCGTCCATCCTCTGCTTCTCATCTGTCTGTTTTCTCTCATCCCGTTTACCCTCCCCTCCTTTTCTGGGTCTGCTTTGTGCAAATGTCATACAACACTCTGTAATATCTGTGGTGTTGGCGAGGAGGGGTCCATGAAAGACTCGTGGGTTATTAAAGCGTGGGCTTGTGTGTGCAGGAACATCTGTCGCAGCCTCCATGATTTCGATCGTGTAATTAATGCAGCAGGCGTTGAAAATAAAAGGTCGTCATGTGTTTTGGTTTATCCTGTTTTCCAGATACTACTATAACAAGAGGATCCTTCATAAGACCAAAGGCAAGAGGTTCACCTACAAGTTCAACTTCAACAAACTGGTTTTGGTCAACTACCCGTTTATTGATATGGGTTCCACTGGTACGTCTTTGTTTTCATGCTTGAATATCTCATAACCTCTAAAAATGTTGCCTCAGTTTAGTAGGATTATTTGTTAAGCTTCTTTATTAATTTCTCATCTTTTCCGTTGGTGTTCACAGGAAGCAGCGTACCCCAGAGCGCGCCCCCTGTCCCCACCGGCGCAGGGACCCATTTCCGCTTCCCTCCTTCCACGCCCTCTGAGGTCCTCTCCCCCAACGAGGACCTACGCAGCCCCGGAGGCATGTTCAGCACTGTCGCCCGGCGAATGGCCCGCGGCTCTGTGAGCGACTGCAGTGATGGCACCTCAGTCAATTCAGAGATCGAGGAGGGGAATGGGGGAACAGGAGACGAGAGGGGGGAAAGGGGTGTTAGCGGAGGGGGAGGGGGCCCGGGTGGCGGGGGGAGCTACCGCAGCATCATCCATCCCCGTCTGTCTCACGAGGCCCTATTCCGCATGTATGGAGGGCCAGGCAACCCTGCAGCCCACCCAGGTTCACGTGGTCCCGCTGGACATCGCATCCACCAAGAGCCCCTGTCTCCCTTCCCCGTTTCCCCTCTGCCAGGACCCCCAGGAGCAAGCCTCCTGGCCCCTCCTCTGTCTCCAGCGCTATCCATGACCCCAACATCTCACCTCCCTTACACTCCCTCACCCACGCTGTCCCCCATGCTCGGCTCCCACTTCTCCTTCAACCCAGAAGACATGAAACGCTACCTGCAGGCCCACACCCAGTCCGTCTACAACTACGGCCTCAGCCCCAGAGCGTTCCTGCAGTACCCCAACATCGTCATCCCTCAGCCCCACCGACCTGCCACCGACAAAGCCAGCCTGAACGCAGAGAGAGCTGCCGCCGATCGTGCAGAGAGAGCCGGAGGAGGAGAGAGGGCTGGAGATCGGCACCATCACCCGTCGCTGGCTCACTCCGCCCATCACCACCCACAGCCTCCTCACTCTGCCCACTCCCACCCCCATTCCCATCCTATTCATCACCCCCTCCACCTGGGAGAGGAACCCCCTCACATGTCTCCCTTCAAGTTCAAGCTGCAGCCACCCCCACTGGGCAGGAAGCAGAGAGAGGGGCAGAGCAAACCCAGGCAGAGCTCTCTGTCGTCTGGCTCAGGATCCGGGTCCATGTCCTCCACCTCAGGACTGGGGTCCTCGCTGTCATTCGGCAGTGACCTGAGCTCGGCCAGCGGCTCCGGAGTCATTTCTGCTTCCTCCTCAACGCAGTCCTTGAACAGCGCTGGACTCCCAAAGATAAAGGTACATGAGCCTCTTTCTCTGTAAACAAGTAGGCCTCATTCCTTTAAATCACATTTCAACCAACTTGAACACATTTTATTGGAGCATTAAAAGTTTGTAATGAACCAACAATATGTGGCTTGTTACAGACATGGATATTTATTTATTTATTTATTTTAGTGAAGTACAAAAGAGAACAAAGATATGAGGACAGTTATTGGTCAAACACCTTTACTAAAAAGAAACATACCCATTTTAAGACCAACCAAACACCTGCAAGAAGCTGCTCTCATCAGAAAAGGACGAAACTGAACTTATTATCATGAATGTCTGTGAATTAGACAAATAAAACTCCACACTCAGAACACACCATCGTTTGAGTTTAAACTCAGCAGTGGCTGCCTGATGCTGTGGTAGAAATGCTCTAGTTTGTTGTTTAGATGATTCAAGTTGAATATAGGGTAATTACCCTAAACATGCAGATAAATCACCACTGGATGGATTAGAGCAAAGCTTATTAATGGGATGAAATGGCCTAGTCAAATTCAGAATTTTCAACTAAAAATCTCCAATAAATGAGAGTGCATCTCATTTAGCTGGGAAGTAAATCAAAAACAATTTGAGATGAAGCTGACAGAGACTTTTAGCTCTAACAGATCTAATCAAGCCACACTGTTCAGATTTTTATTTGGAGCATTTTTTTTTCATTTTCCTCTTCCATTTCCGGAAAACTTCTGTTTGTAAAGAAATCAGACTGAATCCAAGGTGTGTGAATAATTGCTTTACATCCAGACGCAGCAGAAAGGCATTAGTTTTAAAATCAGTGGAAAATCTTTATCATAACTTTTTGCTTTTTTAATGAATGAAGTTGTTGATCTATGAACTGTTTTACTGGACTGCAGGTGGAGCCCATCTCGGATATAGAATCAGAGGAAGAGGTGGAGGTGACAGACATCAGCGATGAAGATCCAGATGAAAGGGAGAACTTCTCCCCTCGACACTTCAGGGTCTCTAACCATCACCACCACAATAATCATCTGTCCAACGGTACGGCCACAGCCCAGCATCAGTCACACGACGAAGACCTGGACGAAGACGTTTTCAAAGCTCCCGCTCCTCCTCCTCCTGGGCTGATGCCATTCTTCACCTCACACCACGCTCACCGTGGGCTGACCGCCCTCAAAAGCGAACCTGTCGAACCAGGGGAGAGCAACGCCAGCCAGTCCCAGGCGGTTTCACCTGGAGCCACGCAGGGGAAGTGCATTCCTCTGAAGCTGCGCTTCAAGAGGCGCTGGAGCGAAGACCAGCGCATGGAAGCCTCTCAGGAAGAGTCGGACGACAAAAAGGTCCGACCGGAGGAGGAGAGGGATAAAGCGAGGCAAACTAATGGATGTGTGGAGATGGGGGAGGACTTGGCAGGCAGCGGGGAGGGAGACGGCGACAGTCCTCCTCCGTTAGCCTACGAGGGCTCCTTAACAGTACCTCTGGCTTCACACAGGAGAGTGAGCGCCGAGCTGCACCGCGCTACAGCCCAGCTGTCCCTGGAGAACAAAGACTGCTGAGTTGAGGAGGAGCTCAGCCCAAACACTACCGCTCCAGCAGTGCGGGAGTTTGTAAATGGTTCCTCTGTAATCCCACTCCCACACTGACAAACTATCTGACCCGAGAGCAGCGTCTGACACACACTCTCTTCAAACTGACAGCCAGATTCCTGTTGTGTCAGAGCCGCTATCAATCCTTGCTTACTCTAAAAACCAGCTCCCTGGCCGGTGAAGCCCCAGCAGCCCCGTCCTTCATCAGCAGAATCAGCAGCAGCCAGACAACTCTTTCCTCAGGACAAATAATCCCTCACAGCCCTCCAACCCGCCCAGCACGATCCAGTGGATCGTCTCCCACAGGGACTTCTAAGTGCCTGCATCAAACCCCTGAAAGCCCCGGAGAGACACGGAGGGACGCTACGAGAATAATCGTGTATTTGTAGAAAAAAAAAAAAGGAAAGTGTGTCTAAGACTGCTGAGTGGGGCTGTTGGATGTTTGTCTGGCCCTCTCCACTCAGTGAAGCCTTTTGCTGTATCTGTACGGATCCATGCACGCACATCCCCACACAACAGCGGCGAACAGGACTTGAGGGACCGTGACATACAAATCCCAGATCCAAGCAGAGACTTCAACTTTCCCCTCAACCTCTCCTCTCGTTTCCTCCTGCTCTGTCCTTCTCTTTGCGGACCACTTGTGGAAACATCAGGACTCTCCGTCTTCTCACAGAATTAATTTGAACCCCAGGATGATGTGAGGAGCAGGAAAAAAATAAGGAAAGATGGAGAGCTTCTCCACCTGAAGCAGTCTCAGCTGCGCCGTAGTTTACCAGCTCCTGCTCGTCTAACGTGTTGAACTAAACCAGCAAAGACACACATGCACAGCACTGCCCCTCACAGACATGAATACAGACACACACACTGCCGCTCTTCGCCTTCTTTTTAAAGCCTGTAAAATAGTTAAACTGAGCTCTGAAGCCACAAGCAGAATATATCTTTATATATGTTGAAATGGAGACGATTACAGAAGAGATTCAGAAAAGCACAGCATTTTAAAGACGCAACAGATTCAGGGTTTGTTTCTTTTGTTTTTTGGTACTTGGATCATTTTCAGATGGTGTTGTTATAGGGGCAGCAGAACCAGGAAGGGCCAGGGAGATTTCTTGTATATTTGTTTCATATATAAACAAAAAGCTCAGGCCAGTTCACTAGAAGAAGAAGAAAGTAAAAACCAGCAGACTGCTAATGATTCAGACGCTGTAGTTGGCTCTGCTGTTCACTTGGTTTTGCAGTAGCCTGCCCTTTCAGCGTGCAGCGCTCTGTTTTGTTTGTTTTTTTTTCCGTCTGCAGTCTCGCTCTGCTCAGCAGGGTTCCCCCTGGTTGGAGCTGGCTGCAGGCCACCTCTCCAGGCTTTCTCCGTGTTCGTTTGCACGCCCTCAGTCAGCTCATGGGTTATTAGCGAAGCAGTAATCCTGCACTGTCCTCATAGTCTGGTTAACGATTCAAAGTTCAGCACAGTTAAGAGAAGGGGTTTTAATCACTATGCCGATTGTGACCCCGTCCAGATCCGCCCCGTCTCCCTTTAATCTATGCACTTTTCCACCCACCTGCAAACACGTGGTTCTGACAGGCTTTAACACCCTGAAGTCACCTATGTGGGTTACCTGTGTTCCCATCAGGTGACCTGCAGCAGCAACGTTTACAGAAGTTGGACTTTTTGTCGTAATTCAGCCACAAACTTCATCAAATTCTGTTAAGGACCAACAAAAGGTATTGGATAGCTGTTCTTTTCTACAGCAGAAGAAATGATAAATAGATTTTTAACTTGTTTACGTCTATAAATCTGAAAAGTTTGGTGTGCGTTTGCAGTGGGCCCTGTGCTTGGAGATGTATCTGTACCAGATTTGTATCTCTACAGACTTCATGTTTCGCTCACTCCTCTTAAAAAAAAAGGGAATAAACAAGCTCAAAGCAGACTGGATGGAGTGTTCATGTAATGGCAAATTCCCCTACCGCAGATTTTCAATTGGCTTTAAGTCTGGACTTTGATTAGACCGTTCTAAAAGCAGCCCTAGCTTTAGGGTTATCCTCCTACTCCCCAGCATCAGTTGCAGTCTCCTTATTGAAGAAAACATTTCCCTTTGCATGATGCTTGATGTAACAATTAATTCACGGCTCGTTGTCTGTATTCCATTTACACCTGAGCAGATTACATTGTTCATTGGGTAAGCTGTGTCTCATATTTATTTTATCTTTCTTTCAACATTATTTATTCGAAGGGTAGACTGTGAAATACGGGACTAAGAGAGCTGTAGAGTTCTGCAGCTCCTCCAGAGTCACTGAGATTGAGAGCCATATCCAGTTTGATTCAAACGGAGCTCTGGAAGATGTTAAAATCTTGGTATATTTTATAAATGAATCCCACTTTAAAATTCTGCTCTGCTTTTTATTTTCTAATGTTCAATTAGGGACCTCTGGTGGTAAATTCACTGTGTTTTATTCATGGGTACCAGATCTAATGGGGCTGAATATCAATGATCAATGCACACCACACTTTTCAGATTGTTCTTATTACATATATCCCATTAAAATATTAGTTTATGCTTTTGAAACAAACATATTTGATCTACTGTGCAGCTGAGCTAATTGAATTTCCCGTTAGGCCCCTGGTGTTCTGGCTTGAAGCTTGTCACAACACACACCCACCAGGTCGTACGTCTGTATATGAACTGACAGCTGCCTTACTTTACCGCATCTCAGCGACGGACGCTCCTCTTTGCTCTCACCGCTGAACATTTCCTCGTTCTGTTGGACTTCCTGCCAACAGATTTTGCCGGGGGGGAAGAAAAAAAAAAACATCCCAGAACAGTTACTCTCTCCTCCTGTTACAGGCCTCAACTGTCAGACGAAACAGCACAGATTTTACATTTCTCTATGGGGAAAAAAAAAAAAAGTACAGATTTGTCGGTTTATTTTTATGATGTCATTTTGAACTTGGATTATCGTTGTTTTTATGGTTCTCATTGAGTAACTTACCTCTCCGCCTGGCATTATTTTTATTCCGCGGCTCTGCTAGCTGCTGCTTTTTATGTGGTGAGCATCACTTTGGAGGGTATTGATGAGTTGACCCATGAACTTCATTCCCTGTGTTGAATCCTTTCCAGCTTTTAGTTCGTTTTTTTTATTTTATTTTTTTTTTTATGTAATATAAACGAAATGTGTGACAGTGAATTTAGAGCTGACAGAGATGCGCCACCTGGGATGGAGCAGGAAGGGAAGCGGGCAAGGATTTTATTTCAGGGCACAGAGGAAGTTTCTATCCTTTTTTCTTTGTCTTTTATTGTCGTTTTAATTTTATAATGTTACTTTTATCGCTCTCTTGTATATTTTCCTTGTGTTTTATTTTGGGAGGAGGTGTATGATTTTTAAAGAGCAAGTTGTGTTTTACCCTGTAAAGATCTCCCTCTTTCGGTCTGTTCTTTCTCCTCTTTTCTCCCCAGAGCTGTTACATAACACCTCACGCGGAGACCAGAGGGTTAATACTATGACGTAACATTGAATTTCCGCTTCTTTCATTGTTTGTTTTATTTTATTTTTTTCAAACATGTAATTAAGATGTAATCAGGGTTAATTAAAACCAGTTAAAACCCAATATGAATGTCGCTGCTCTTCTTTAACGCATCCATTTTCTCCTAGAGATTCTGCAGGACTTCAGGGTTTTGTTGTCTGTTTATTTGTAAACAAAGGGATTACCTCCGGACTTTGTCGTCAGAGTTGAGCCACCAGTGCGTGCGTTTAGGATTTGGGTATTTTAAGATTAAAGACAATAGAAACTGACTAACAAAACACTTTGCTGGATAAGTACAGAAAAAGAAAATAAAAGCATTTCCAGGTATTTTAATTTCTTTTTCAGTTTATTGAATAAGGACGGATTTAAAGCAACAATATGTTCACCCTGGTGCTAATAGCTAAGCTAATTTATAGCACTTTTTCCTAAGTGGTTTCAATTAATAGTATAGCTATAATGGTTCAGTGAATAGAATGATAAATTACCGTGCTGCTTTTTCACTCAACCAGGGTTATTATAAAAAATAAATGTTGAATCTGTTCACAGACATAGGGACCAGAGAGAGTTCTTTGAGGAAAGGAGGTCTTCGAGAAGGGAAGCTTAAAGTCGCCATCTAAAGGAGGATCTGCTATAGACCTGTGGTTATTAATGCAGCCACTCAGTGCTGTGCCCTTCCTTATATGTTCCCTTTTCTTTCAGGCTCTGGTCCTTCCTTCCCTCCTTCTTTCCTTTCTTCTCATCCTTCCCCTCTTGTGTCATTCTATTTGTCCCTCCATCCTTGTTAAACATCTATTCGTTCGTCTTTTTCTTCCGTTTCCTTTTGTGTCATACCTTCTATTTTCATTCTTTGTGATCTTTCCTCCCTTATTAATTTTCTGTCATTTGGTCCCTACTTTTTCTTCCTTCTTTCCATCCTATTTCCTTGCCATTCCTTCCTACGATTGTTTCCTTTCTTGTTGCATCGCATCTTTTCCAGGCTCTCTGAACTAACCGCTGTTGACCCATCCGTAGATTCATGGTAAACTTCAGTATTTTATATGTAAACTTTTGTTTGTAAAAGATAGAAAGGTTTAGAGGACAATTGTGCCTTTTTGATTGGGATTTTGGATGCTAAAGAGGACTTTGTTAATTTCTTAACTTTTTCCTGACTTGTTATTCTTGGCAGCACCAGTTTTTGTTACCTGACAGGTGGGCTGTACGGAAGCTTAGCGACAATTCTCCTGGATTTATTCTGTTTATGTCAACATGGTCTAGCTCTATGCTGTGAAGATCAGTGCGGTTCTGGATGCACCATCTGTTGCAGGGCTGTTTATGACCATGGTTGTGTAGATGGCCCCGTCTTCATCCTCCACTCCTTCAGTCTAAAATAGGCTTTAGTCTTTTTGGCATTTAGTTTCTGGCATATTAAGTACAGTGCTTTGGTGTGCATGTTATAAGAACACTGAAAAAGACCAAGGTGTAACTAAAACCTATTTAATCAATACCGGTAAATTTTTATAGATCATTTTTCAAGCAACATGAAGTGACAAGAAAACTTGTTAAAATGTTAAAGTCTCTATTATCTTGTAGGTTAAATATAAAGAAATAGGAGCTTTACAATCGCAAACAAGGATCTACCAAAAATATAGACCTCTGTTTGCCAAATCAGAAGGAAATTTTAAAACTTTAAAGCTCTGTATAATCTCACCCCATCTTAAACATTTAAAAACTTAGTTCTATGTTACCAAAAGGGCAGATTCTCTGTTTTATTGGACATAGAAAGTTCCCCCCCACCTACTGCTGCTGTGTTTTACCTGTTCATGGATCCTAGTTGAAACTGACATTAATATTAGTGCTGTTGTTTTATGTTGTTCTTTTATATTTTATCGAAATTATTTCAGATTCACAGAGTTTTTGATTGAATATTGCCAGATGTATGTTAATTTTTTTTAATCCATTTATTTCAGAAAAGTTACAATCAGTTTTAATCTTTTTTATTTATAATATAAAAAAACTTTTAACATTAAGACAGACCTAGAGTTGTGATAAACCTAGTTTATGTATTAATTTAGATAGATTATCTCGTTGGGTAACACTTTGCAAAATGTGGTTCTAAGTAGTTTTTCTATACTTATTTGAGTCTTTTTTTTTTCCTTAAATTTTTATTGAAATTTTGTCGTTACATCAAAAGTGCATCGGGTACAAACACTGAGACTACAGATCCAATACCATGTCACAAACTATACTATACATCCATAAAAGCCCTTTCATATCAGCATCTCCAATGTTTGCATTGAATTTGCATGCAATCCAGAACTAAACCAAAGTTATTATTGAAAAAATAACATTATCCATTGAGACCAAGCTGCAGTCAGATTACTGATATCAGTTTTATCTCTCTATCATTTAATTGACAGGGGTTGATATTCCACCCATTTGATCATATCTGCCTTTCTGGCCACCATGAAAAGAAAATGAACCTCCTTCTTGTGTTTTATGAATCCAGTAAAAATCCAAACAAACATCAGATTTTAGCTGCTGTCTGATCACCCGGCTATCATTACACTTGTTGAAACTGCTGAATCTTTTATGTTCACAGATGCAGTGAAATAAAGTTCATTTTGATATTTTTCACTTTAGAAAATAAGGAGAGCCCCCTGTAGTGTATTTACTGTACATGTATACTTTGTATAATGTATTACAAGAAATATCACTTTATCTTTCACAAATTAATATTTCAGACGGCATTAGTATTATTGTGTCCCATGCTTCTGGATCTATTGTTTTCTAAAGTGTTGCCTCTGCTGCTAATCTGACTGTACACTCTGTAGTAGATTAAATTCTCTTGAGGATCAAGGATACCTGTGTCATATTATACAAAGTTTCTGACCTGGGGGTACAAAAAAGAAAAAAACTTCTGGGTAAATAGTATTCGTTTTAATGTTCTCAGATTATTTAAATTTTCCTTCATCCCAAAGGTTGAGTACGTTCCTGATTCCTCCTACTTTTTTAAATTGACTACAGCATCCTCTCCTGTTAGATCTGGATTATTTACTGCTTATTTTAAACTACATAGTGCATATTTTTCCTCAAATGATTACTTTTCCAGGACTTAATCAAATTTCTAATAATAAATTGTCTCCTACCATCGCTGGTACTTGTTGCTCCAATGACCGTGACATTACCGTCGCCTTCACCTTCCATTCTCTCTAGTTCTTCGATGAGGTCTTGGTATTTCTCCAGATTCTCCTGTTTTTTTTTCCTGATGTTTCCACCATCTTGGATGGCCATGTCGATCACTACAGCTGTCCTCTGCTGCTTAATGATCACAATATTTTGTTGGATGGCCACAATCATTTTGTCTGTTTGTATCTGGAAGTCCCAGAGGATCTTAGCCACCTTGAGAGATGGCTGCTGTTTTAACCTGGGGTTTTCCAGTCTGTATTCTGCACAGATGTTTCTGTACCTTATACCAGCCACTTGGTTATAATATTCCATATATTCCTTTCCTGCCAGTATCTTAAATCCTGCTGTATGTTGCTGGATTGTTTCAGGGGCTTTCATACATACCCTGCACCTGGGATCTTTCTTGGTATGGTAGATCAGGGCATCTATTGTTCTGGAGCTCAGGGCCTGCTAACCGCCCTGGCATGATCAGTGCTTCTGTGCTGTCCTTCAGCCATGCCCTCTCTAGCCATTGCTAGAATTTGGTCATACCAGCCATAGCAGATATTTGTAAGTGGTACATCCCATCACATTTTTCCTCCCATGATATTTCCTCCACTTCCTTCACTATATATATTTATATATATATATATATATATATATATATATATATATATATATATATATATATATATATATATAGGCTTATATATATATATATAAGCCCTTTTTTTCTGCTCCTGCGTATTTTATCCGTCTAATGCTCACATGTTTCACCCAGTTACCTTCTAATGTGACGTCTGTAGCTGCTGTCTTGTCATACTTACTCACAGACACATGCTGTATGTAGGAGGAATTGCTGGAGGAGAAAGAGCCAAGTGTCACTGACCTTTAATGACGCTCTTAGATAAATAATGTGAATGTGGGATTATAATGTGGGGCAAAGGACAATAAAACAAGAAACTGGTGCAGGTTAAGAATTCATCTAATATTTTAACAGAGAAATTCTTAGTAAAAAGATTGGGATTAAAAAGCTATTTTTCCTGTTTTTAATAATAGCAGCTACGTATGAATTTAAATATTGTTACAGAGGTTTACAGAAATCTTCAGTCATTTGCTATAAATAATTTCAAAGCAGCCAGAATTGGTGTAGCATTTAAAAGGGTCTTCTTTGAATAATATTTGTGCTTTGATTTATTATTGTGTCTCATTTCCTCACCCATTAACCAACAACTTTGCATGAAAAGAAAAACTGTGAGGGGAGGACTAAAGAGGATGCAAAGGCATGTGAATATAATAATATTGCCAAGTAGTTTTTCACTTATAAGGAATTTGACTTGGTGTTGATGGTGCAGACAAAATAAATATATAAACAGAATACCTAGCTTTATACTATATAGAATATATAGTACATAGCTCTATGCTATATACACTGTTGACTGTGCATTAATGTAACGCAGGAGGTCTGGAGATGCTACATTGGTGTAGCTTGTAGGTCCTGATAGGGGAGGGAGAGAGGCGTGTCAGTATCACGGGGGTCTCTGGGCCTTGTTAATAAGGCTGGTAGCGGATGGGAAGAAACTTATTGAGGTGTGAGGTTTTGGTCCTGATGGACCGCAGCCTCCTGCCAGAGGGAAGTGACTGAAATAGTTTGTGCCTGGGGTGCGAAGGATCAGCCACAATCTTCCCTGCATGCCTCAGAGTCCTGTAGGCGTACAGATCCTGGAGAGATGGAAGATTGCAGCCAATCACCTTCTCTGCAGAAACGCTCAACTTAAAAACTTTTCAAAGCTTTCAGCTTTTATCAAGATAGATGTGGCTCATTGAAAGAAATAAAGACATATAAGCCTGAAAACCTCAATGGACAGTCCATGATTTTATCTTCAATAAAATCCAGAATTTATTCAAAGGTGAAAGATTATGTAGACATGATGAAAGAT